TTGGGGAATTTACACAAATGTCACTAAAATTGAAAATGCAAAAAAAATTTGGACATTCACCAATTTCTTTCAAGAATGTCAATTTTTCCCTACAAAATGTTCACTTTATCCTTTAACACCTTTTTGGAGCAATAAATGCTTGATTTGAATGCAATTAATGTTATGATGTGATTAATTTATTTTTGCTTTAAATTTAATATTGAAGATATGATATTATATTGTATAATAAGATTTTTTTGATTAAAAAGGGGGTGAAATCTTTACAAAACACACACACACACACACACACGAATTGAAAGAGCTTCTTCTTCTTCATCATCTCCACTCCATCATCAACAAGGAAACAAGGAAAGTCATTGACAAATTTGAAAGGTAAGGTAGTAGAAAAAAGTTCATCTCATGTCATAGTTGACTACTTTAATTTTTCAATACAATATGATCATATTTAAATGAACCCTTTCAATCTCTTATTCATTGATGTAGTAAATTTTTGGTATATTTTAGAAAGAAAAATTATACCAACATTATATAGAAAATGTGAAGTATTCCATATATAATTAAACATTTAATGAACATTAAGTGATATCTTGTTCATTTCTAAAAAGATACAGTGATATTGTAGTTCAGAATTTATTATGGCCTTTACCGTTTTCAATAAATTCGTCAAACAGTGAAGCACATGGAATTTATCTTTCTCGAAAGTTATGGCAGTAGAACTGTCGAGTGGTATCTTGGAAACTGTCGGGTTAGACATTTTAACTGTCGAGCTCGACATTTAATGACTGTCGGGATAGAAAATGTAATTGTCGATTTCGACAGCTGAAAACTGATCATCTTTTATATCTTTGGTAGTACATGGATGTAAGTGTTTTCGTGTGCCAATTTGATGTTATGAAATGTCGATATATGAATCTGCAGAATTCTCACTTTTGCAATCCTAACATTTCATGTATGAGTCACGATTTTAGATTCATCGTGTCGCATGGAGGAAACTTCGTTCACTCAGATGATGAATGGAAGTGGAGAGGGGACAAAACCACTTCCATTTTAGTGTCGAGAAGTATTACCGTAGCAGAACTTCTGTTACGATTGAAGGAGAAACTTGGTATCGTTGAATCCCGCAATGCAATCGAATTGAAATTCAAAGTCCCGAACTTGAATCTACCTCCGGCAGAGATACGCGACGATGAGGATCTACAGTGGTACATATCTGTTCATAAGGAAACTGCACTCTGCATCACATATTTGGTATCCGAGCTCCCAATTGTTGGTATGGCAACAGATGCAAACTGTGAAGGGAGCTTGTTCGGCCCAACGGAATGTCCACCGAATGTACAACATGACGAGATGAATCATCACCACAGTGTGTCGCAAACCGAACGACCCGAACCTCCAATTGAGAGTATAGAGGCTGCAGCATCCGCCGAACACTTAGAGAACCCATTACATGGTGCAGATCGTGCTTTTATTGCTGAAATAGACGAGACAATGTCATCAAATTCCAGACGTTCGTGCAGAGATGAGTGGATTACAGCTGCAAATACATCAGTTCTCGCCGAGAAGCAAATATTTTTTACCAAGAAACAGTTGTACTCGAAGCTTCATGTACTTGCTTTGCAAGAGAAGTTCCAATTCCGGGTAAGCAGGTTAAGCTTGAAAATGTTAACAGTTGTCTGTGTGGATGATAATTGCAAGTGGATGCTACGTGCTTCTACTGTCAAGCAGTCTGCAATCTTCATGATCCGTAAGTTCGTTGCAGTTCACACATGTTCCCTTGATTTTCGTCGTAACGCACATCGGCATGCCACTAGTGCTGTAATTGCGGAGCACATTTTGGGAAAATTGGATACTCCATACCGATCATATCCGCCTACTCATATTGCACGTGATATGGAACGTGAGTTTGGTGTGAAAATCAGTTATAGCAAAGCACGTAGGGGGAAGCTCCATGCCTTAAATATGCTACATGGTACACCAAGGGACAGTTTTCAGAAATTATCTTCGTACTGTCACGTCGTAGGAGAAAGTAGCCCGGGGACCGTTACCCACATCGAAGTTGATTGTTGTAATAGGTTTCGTTACTTCTTTGTAGCTTTTGGTGCAAGCATTCGTGGATACATGCAGTACTTGAGACCCGTTATTTGTGTGGACGGCAGTCACTGAAAGGTCCATATAAAGGTACACTCCTAGTGGCAACTGCCCAAGATGGTAACAAACAGATTTATCCGTTGGCATGGGGGATCGTGGATGCTGAAACCAATAAATCGTGGAAGTGGTTTTTGTCGAACTTGAAAGACCTTATAGGGGATTCCGAAGAACTCGTGTTCGTTTCAGACAGGAAAAAGAGTATTCAGAAAGCTATTTCTCAGTTGTTTCCTTCGTCTCGGCATGGTTGTTGTATATGGCATATGGAAAAGAAACTAATACAGCGGTATAACAACGCAAGCCTATTATTTCTATTCAAACGAGCTGCTACAACTTTTCGGGTCGAGGACTTCGAACGACTCATGGGACAGATTCGTAGAGTGAGCGAAAGAGCGCACGGGTACTTAGAGCGAGCGGGATATTCATTTTGGTCCAGAGCACTATTTCTTGGACACCGTTACAATATTATGACAAACAACAATGCAGAGTCGTTGAACTCGATGTTGAGAGATGTCCGGTCGTTACCGATAACCTGCTTGGTTAAACACATTCGGAGTATTATGCAAAAGTGGTTTTACGAACGTCGAGCAAATGCGGAAGAATGCAGTACCTTATTGACACCAAGAATGGAGAACGAGCTACGGACGACTTTCGAAAATGGAACTAGGCTTCAAGCCCATGCCCTGACAAACAACTTGACGCAGGTTGGAAAATCCAACGACACGGACATAGTTGACTTGTCCGAAGAAACCTGCACATGTCGTGAGTTCCAACTAAACCGTATGCCATGTGTTCATGCAAGTCGTGCTGCTTGCTTTAGAGGGAAGACGTTGTACGAGCTTTGCTCCCGTTATTATTTATTGGACTACTGGAAGGGTGCCTACAGCGAAACTATATATCATGTTCCGAGGGAAGTGGATTGGGTTGTTCCGAGCTTAATTACATGTACTCCTATTTTCCCACCACTCGTACGTCGTCCTCCAGGTAGACCACCAACCCGCCGTAAGCGTTCTAGGTATGAGTATGCATGGTCTACCAGAAAATGTACCCGTTGTGGTAGAGTCGGTCATAATCGGACCACGTGTTCAAACCCCCGTGTATCACATGCTCCTTCAAGATTTGCAGGTTTATAGACGTTGTATGTTAATTATTCCGTACTACATCGAACATTATGAAGTTACGATTTACAGTTTGTGATCATTAATGTTCTTGCATGTTGCGCATCCTGTTGTGCACATAAAGATTTCACTGTCTGTCCAGCACGTAGTAAACATCCCGCCCAGTTCAAATATTGGCCCCGATAGATGTGTTACTTATTCTCGACAGTTGACGAAACCTTGCACTGCACTCACGGTCTGCGTCACACATACATGTTGTGACCTCTAAACACGAGAACGAAAAATGTTCGATACTGTACATATATATTTTTTCCCATTTCGAAACGCAATCTTCTATCCCCTACAGATTTACTATCATTAGCATCATCTTAAATCGAAATTAAAGGTAGTGCAAAACGCAATCTTGAATCCCGAAGAAATGTACAATCATTTGCATCATCGTAAATCATGGATTAAAGTTAGTCCAAGATACACACCTTTCACAATAGCCGTTTTACATACTGCAAAATACATAACCATTTTTGTACATTTTATTGATACTGCCCGACAGTTGACATGTCGTCCCCGACAGATAGTCTCAGTAATTCTCGACAGTTCGACCGAAAAACGCAAAAAACATGCCACGAATTGCATGTTAGAGACATGTTCACATGGACTTTTTGGTATTGTCTTAACTAAGGTCATCCCTACAAAATACCTTACTATACAGTACTTATTCACTACATTCCATGGGTCTCACATTAGTCGTCGTCGACAACTGAACCATGGTCCCCGCTATCCTCACCTGACTCGTCGAAAGAGATGATAATGACCTCATTTGGGGGATCGTACGCCATCCATTCGTCGTCATCGTCGGAATCCCCCTCGTATCCGGCATCCAGCTCGAACTCCTCATTGAGGACTCCATTCGGTGATTGCGAAATATAAATTGGAAAAAGCGGAGATGAACCAAGAACTGGCAGTGGCTCGTTCATGTTCAACGGTTCGTTGCTTCCTGTGGAAGAACTCATTACGTGAACGTATAGTAGTACTAAAGGAATGATAAGTGTCTGTGAGAAGGTGAATGGGTGACAATGGTCTTGAAGGAACTTGTTTGTAAGTGAGAATGAAGTCCCACACTTTTTATAAGCAAATTGAAGGGGGAAACAATTATGGTCTCCATCTACCCAACAACCAAGTCAATTCTCCTAGTAAATTTGAAATGCAATTGGTGTGATGGTTGAATAAATGAAGTATACCTTTATCCCCCATTTCCCCATACTTAGTACAATGTTAAACACTCTTTAATCATGTGCCCAAATAAGGAAAAGTGTGCATATCTGCAACAAAAACCTGCTCAATCTAATTGCTACTTTTAAGTTGCCATGGTTGTAATGGTATAGTTCCTCACACGTACAGGTCATCATCGCAAGACACATGGAAGACGAACAACGAAATAATTATTTTTACTAATTTCATTGATTTATGAATTACTTTTTACCGTGGTTCTCATGCTCTTGACAGTTGTAACGACTCATCTTCTCGTTGCATCTCATGTATGTGCCTTAATGCCTTAGTTTGAGAATTTATCATAATAATATCGTCCCCGATTAAAGCTATAGTGAAAACTAGATACCACTACATAAATTTATGAAATATAACATTCCCTATGTAATGTAACCAACACGAGTGTAAGAAGCGTAACACAAATTAGAAAATCTTAAAGACTCGAAGTATATTACTACATCTATAATAAGATTGGATCGAATATCAACAATATCAAGAAAACAGTAGTTACAAAGCATTTCGGGAAATTGGCATGTTGCATACGCATGTTCCCCTCCTCCAAGAGAAAATAAGCGCACACAATATGTCCAAAAAAAACATATACCGAACAACAAAACGAACCTGATTGATAGAATCGACAAAGGTAAAATACCAGACACAATTCATAAACACTACAACTAGCGATCAGCCAAACAAAATAAAATATGAGGAATCTGTCCACGTATCACCATGGTACGCAAGAGTAATGAAAATGTAATGTAAAACGAATTCAAACAAAAGTTATTTATCCAACATGTTAACATCCGTCACCACCTTCACGAAATCGCTGACAGGGTATTACCAACTACAACACCACCGTCGTGCTGTCCCCACAGTTCACATCCCTTTTACTTCTTCGTTCGCTTCGCCGCCCTTGTATATGGAGTCTTGGCCGCACGAGCTGGACGTCGCACCCGTGCCTAGCGCCGACTCGTCGTATGAACTCCGTGTCCTGGTTCGGCTACACTGGCGGGAACAGGGACTTCAGCGAGATCGCCTACGAGAATTTAAAAGGAGGGGGGAGTTAGTGACCATAAATTCCCTTCACGTAGCATACGTAACATACAATAAGTGATGCAGAGAATGAACTTACCATCACCATCCGTAACATCGCAACCCTGTAAGTCGGCATCGTTGCTCGGGCCCGTATGTGAGGGCTCCATGGCTCCTCCATCTGACATTACAACACATTTGTAACTGCATATGTGTTGGACGTTTGCAGTTGGAAGATAATGGAAGCGTACAGGAAGAAAGAAAATGAGAAAAATAATTCCCATGTTACCGTTCAAATCCGGGACGGCAAATATCGGCTCCATCTGTCCTCCACCTAATTGGAGACCACAATCACACCACAGGAATATGTTATTGCATTTTCATGAAGTCAGAACGGAAGTAGATGACATCGAATATAGTAGGGAAAAATAGTAGCACATGACAACGTACCTATCTGTTCGTCGGTTGCTACGGGCAGTGGGTCGTGTACGTTGTCCGGTCGAGCCGCGATGTCTTCTCCATCTGTTGATGAGAACATGAAAACTGTGTGAATACATTAGGTTTCCCAACTTCCACAACATACAAAGTCCGTCAAATAACAAGTTTCAATGTGCTCATAAATAACCCACGTACCTTGTACATGTGCAGTTCCTGTATCTGCTCGCATGTCTTGCTCGTCTGGGGAATGCTCCATTTCTCCTCCACGTATTTCTAACTCGCAATCGTCGTATGGAAAAAATGTTAGCTACAGGTGCATGTGCTACTGTCAAACATGGGTGAAAATTATAAACCAAACGGTTTATGTATTGAACATTCATATCTTGCGGAATGCTACCTGAAACGCCACCCTCGGTATCGGCGGGCATCGCGGCTGGAACGGGGGTCGGAGCAGGTGGGGCCACGAGGGTTGCAAAGAAAGCTCGGAGTTTTTTACATTCGAATGTCACGTGCTGTTCGATTTCAAGCTTGACGGTGCGGAGTCGCATTTCAAAGAGAATTCTTTGGTCGAACAACATCTCTTCCACCTCCTCTTTGGTGACGCCTGATCCGGATGTGCCAACTGGCCGTGTCTCCATCGTCGGCCCTCGCACTGGAGAAGATACGTCGGTCGCTGGAGGTGTGGAAGACGCACCGGTCTGCCCTCTACAAGTATCCGCACCGACGCTGGATCGCTCACTGGCGCCCTCGCCACTCTCCTCGGCATCGGCACCTTCATCTCCAGACATGTCATCCTCACCACCTCCTCTGCTCGAGACTCCGTCATCGGATTCCTGCCTCACCAACTGGCCCCCACTTCCACTACCTCCGTGTGATGCATTAAACTGCGGCCCCACAACGTTCCTGGCAATCTTATCCAGCACAGGCACCGGAGGATCATCGTACGGCACGAGAGTGGAGAAATACTGCTGTTCCGCCTCAGCGTCGGTGGGACGAAGTGTGGCATACACATGCAACTGCAATGTACGGTTATACATTAGAAACGAAAAGATTCAGGAATGACACGAAACGTGAATAACAAAAGTAACACGTGGTATCCATACCCACACGTTCTTGAAGAATGCATCGTACGTACGATGCTGTGGTTGTTTTCGTGCGGACCACCTAAGCAATCGTGGCATTTGTTCCCCAACTCTCTGGCCAAAACGCTTCCCAATCTCGGGAACTGCCTCGTACGCCCAAACATGTTCCATCAAGACAAACAGAAAAAATAACTGAGATGGTACGCACGATGCTACATCATGGCAAACAAATAAAGCATGATATGCTAGTATTTAAAACATTGTGTACCTGCATGGCAATGGGAAATCCATGAATAGTGTACGTAACCTCCTTCTCTTGCCTCCTCTTCGCCTTAAGAAATTTCTTTGCCCAGAAACCCCGAAATCCGTGCAGCAAACGCCGATAGCCGACTCTACCCCAAGTGTAGGCAAAAAAGATATCTAGGTCGTCAACAATAGATAGTGTACGCAAATCAATTCCGACGTTATTATCAGGGGCATTGAAAACTCCTTCGACTATTAGCACGAGCCCTGGCTTGTAGCGGTCGGCTCGGGCCGTCGAATGTCGGCCAATAGTAGTTTGGAGTTGTGCTAACGATATTTCTCCATGGATTTGAAGTATCTCTCCTTCAGCCTTCTCCTCTCCAGCACTCGATCGAACTCATCACCCTCCGGGAATACACCGCATCTTAACCCCGTCACAAGGGTGTATTCCTGTAGACCGAATCTCATCATGTTGCCTTGCACATTGAACTAGAGCTCGTTAACCTTGTCAGTGCAAATGGTTCTGAACACGAGCTGCTGGATGAGCTGGGCAGAGAATTGAATCTCTGCAACCTCGGCTAGATACCCAAATGGGGAGTTTCGAAACTCGTCACGCTGTCGGTCATCGAAAACGTCCATCACTGTCTTCACATACTTCAAGTTGCTCCTCTGTGAAATGTGGGCCCGCAACCTTGCCTCCTCTAGAAAACAATAATCAAACTCCATCAGTCCTGTGTCCTGCAAGATGCATTCATAAAACTCACTCGGGTTACTGGATAAACTTAAAGATATTGTATCATAAGTAGCAGTTTAATGAAACACACTAAGGCATGGACACACTCAACTGTCGAGAAAAACTGACTACAACCGTCGGTACCGACAGATGATCTGTCGAGATCTGCCTATACCGACAGTTGATGTCCAAACATGCAAGAAGGCTGGCCTAACTGTCGAGAAAACTTGAGCTCTACTGTCGGGAACGACAGTTCAGTGGGAGGCATTGAACTTGTTATTGTTGAGATAAAAATTACGTAACTTAATCACTACTACCACATAATATTAAAGCAAATATTTGAATGGATTGGGGCCCCAATAATGCATGTAAACAAATGATTGACAGTCCAGTGGGAGGCATTGAACTTGTTATTGCTGAGATAAAAATGACGTAACTTAATCACTATTACCACATAATATTAAAGCAAATATTTGAATGGATTGAGGCCCCAATAATGCATGTAAACAAATGATTGAAAATGATTGATGTATTATACAAGCTTTAGCATTCAGTGATTGGAATATAAATAATGGAAACGTGATATTGATAAGCAGAATAGTTAACAAACATTAGACCTTATTACAATGTGCCTAATGCCCAGCAACACACCTAAAACTCTACCGTTATATAACGGTATCCTATGGCATTATATTACAGTGTTGTCTAAGTCTAAGGAAATATAAAATTGGAATAAACTGTGAACAGAGATCTTTGAGATCCATGTTCACAGTCACAGCTTACCAGAAAGAAGAGGGAAAAAAGAAAAAGATAACAGAAGTAGGTCAGACAAATGATGAGAAAGATAAACTAAATAAGTATTCCCAACTCCACTGCTCTTCACAGTTCAATATAAAAGACTACAAATGCCTCTTACCCTAAAATTTATTAACTGGGTGGGGCGTGGGAAGCATGTTAAAAGTCCCGGTTACATGGGAGTTTTTGTCACAATGCTTCTTCGATTTTCAGATTATGAAATTCCAACCTGCATATGGCAGCAAGATGCAATTCAAATCGACCTGCAATCCCCAATGGTGGTAATCATACGTCTGAAATAATCCTGAACAAAGTTTTTTAATCCACAGCTTCCATTTTCATTTCGTATGGTGTGACAATTATACTCCGCCAAAATCAACACATTGATATGTCTATATGAAGTACACATGTCATCGTACGCTCAATAAGAATCATACTGACTATAACTAGATCGTTAGATTAGGATTTTAAAGCAATTACACGGAGTAGACCACAATCTAAAGAAAAAAGAAACTGAAACGGAGGTCAATACTTTGATTGCGTGTTGAATCTTTCCACCAGAAGGTGATATGATAAAACGAATGTGTCAACCAGAAGAAGAATCCACATTAGATGGTAATATTACAGACAACTACACATCTCAATGAAATTCCATGTATCTGACATAGTTTCTAATAGAAACAACTCCACCCTACTGAGACGAAATTGTAACTCCACATGACAATATATTTATTTTCTCCACTTATCTACATCTCCCATTCATGTGATATTGCGCCCCCAAGGGATCTACTTTGGTCACCACAATCGAGACAAACATTCAAATGAGCCTTGCTATCATATGGTATCCAAAATGGAGGAATATTATGTAGGACTACTTCGGGATCTATCAACTACAATTTTAAATTTTTACTTCTAATATGGAAGCATAAAATGAGGAACTTCACGGTTCATTAATTTTATGGCTGAGATGACTTGGAAAATGTGGGTTTTCAGATACACAGCTGAAGGTTTGGAGCTTCAGGAGGAAATGGCTAAAAAAAAAAATGGTTCAACAGGCTGTTCTAGGTGTTGTGTTAAACAATACCCTAGAAGATAACCATTCAGTTAGTGAGGTTTCACGGTGTCTAAGGGATTAGGAAAAATCCGGGCATCTCAAAAATAGTTGGGTTGAAAACACATGACACGATCCACATGGAATCAAAAGCTCAGAAATGTTTAAGTACACTAAACAACTAAATTGAAGAATGGCACGAGTAATTCTTAGAGTTCGACCCCTACCATCCAACTAGGACGGACTTTGAGCCATACACAAGTGGAGGAAAACACAAAAATAAGAAATACCAAGCACAAGCTTCTCTGACATTCCAAAAACTTCACCAATTCACACACTTTTTAGGACAACAGTATTATCATGAACTGTGAAATATCTAGAAAGTACACCATTGCTGAGCTTAAGAAGACAGTAACAACTATATCATGATAAAGACTACGAACGGTACAAAATTTGCTAGGAAAACAGCAAGAAATTGTACAGATAAAATACTTGTATGCATAACATTACAAGTCAAAAGGCATCTTGCAAGAGGAGGCCGCCAGCAATTGAATTCAGATTCAATGATAATTTTCACTAACGAAAATAAAAAAAAAAAATTACTTCTTCAAAGGAAATAAAATGTGCATTTCAAAAAGCAATCTGCACCTTCTACTTGTTCAACAATTGCATAATGAAAGAAATATGGCTGCATCCTACTATTGCCCAACAAAGAGGAACAAAACTTGAAATTACAATGGGAAGTCAGAAGATGAGTGGATTTACCTTCGCCTTTGTTCGGTTTCTCTGGCAGTCGCAAGGGAGAAGACGACCTCGACGTTGTGGTCAGCTTCGGGCGATTCGAGTGACAATGGGAGTGATTTTGACTCAGCTTCGGGCGATTCGACGGCCACTGGGAGTGATTTCGACGTTGACGATCGTCGTCCAAGGCTGTGACTGTGTCGGCGACTGCAGAGAGAGGGCAGAGAGAGGGTAGGCGATTGCAGAGAGTTTCGACGTTGTTTTGGGTGAGAGGCGACGTTTGGCTTTCTTCCTTCATCTCGCTTTTTTTTTCTTTATTTTTCTTCTCCAAACACTGCCTAGTCAAATCTACAATTAATGCAAAACCTGTAAGGTATTACATTTATGCAGAGGGGTAAATTAGTCCAAAACTTTCATAATTTGCCATATTTGTAATGTCAGAAAAAGGATGACATTTGTGTAAGTAAAAATCAATATTTTGACATGCGGTGTAATTTCCACTAATAGTTTCAGCCTTTCTCTCAATTATTGTTCCCCTACAATAATAGTTCAAGGACAACTCATGAATTCGATTGGCCCACAGATGCAAAAAATTACGTGAATTATTGTGCGTAGAAAATGAAGTTTCCTTCAGCATTTCTCTCAATTATTGTCCCCCTACAATAAAGTTCCGTTTAATTGCAAAGATAGAATATTGGTGAAAAGAAAACGAATTTCAATGAATTGAATTGCTTGGAAATTGTTATTTATTATGTTTGATTAGTATAATTTTTCACGTGAAAAATATTGAAGTAAAAGTATTTTTTTTTGTATTCGTTTGACTTTGTTTTACATGAAAATTGTCAATTAAAGTAATAGAATTTACTAGTAATGGGGGTGAAATTTATTTCCATTGCCAAAAAATTCAAGAAAATCATCTATCTTTTGGTATTCGTTTAACTTTATTTTACATAAAAATTGTCCATTAATTTTTTTTACAATTATGGACAACAATCGTACTGATAACGTATTATAAAAGTAAAAAAAAAAATAAAAGAAGAAAAATTGACTCAAAACTCAAGTACATATTTTATTGAGAATAAAGACCCGTATTTATAGGATTCAAAATGAGAGTGATGTGATCCATGGCACGAAGGCAAGTCCAAAGAAGGATCCATTGATGTTGAAGAAAGGCCTATGACTAGGTCATAAATGAAGAGGGTTAAACAATGTGACTATTTGCTCAAGACTCGTGTTGGACTCAGGCGAAGACACGAGGTGCATCAACTTGGTTCGAGCAACGGACGGAGGACCTGAAAAATTCAACTATACGATCACATAGTTTAAATAGGCATATGTTTGCATGCTTCATTATTGAGACCATTGTGTAGGCTGAGAGATGTTTTATGCGATCACATCACTTAGCACTAAACGATCACATAGAGTAGTCTAGACGCAAAATTTTCCAAAAGTTGTGAAATCTCCTAACTTAGTTAAAACACCATACATTTTGTATCTTTTGTAATCTTTCGAATTTTAGTTTGTTTTAACTAGGTTTACATGAGTGCTTTATATATAAAACTCATTATTTTCATTGTAGAACAATTTTTAAACAAACAATTTGATTTATTTCTTATGGCGTTCAAACAA